TCTGTTCAGAGAGTTGTTGCTATTCCTTTCTTCGATCTCCTGTTGAGTTCGTAGGTGTTCAGAATGGTTTGATCCCTATCCAGCTGAATTCCTGGGACCAGACAAAATCCAGGTCTCCTACTCCTCCGCCATCTTGCTCCGCCCCCTCTTCCACAAGGCTCTTAGCAAGTTTCCACCGGTCCAATTTCTTTTGCTTCCTATTTTCCAAGCATTCCCAGTTCCCTTCCTTCTTGGCCAGCCCTTAATTGATATGAATTTTTCTCCTCCTGAATTAAGCTCCTCCCATGCTTGCCTCGCAGCCTGGCCCTCCACAGCATCAGAAAGAGCCACGTGCGAACCTCCCGAGACCACAGGCCTCTCAGCACCAGACGGTGGGCCCTCCCGAACAGCACTTTTTAAATCTGTCGGGGAGGACATGTTTGCTGGCTTAGGAGAAAACGGATCTTGAAAATAAAGGGAAAGATGAAGTGGAATTCTGGTGCATACTCAAATATTTTAAGATTGAAGTTTGGTCTCTTCTCTTGCCCATCTTTGCGGGCCCACAAATGGTAACTAGCGTCCTGAATTAAGAGAATGCCAATGCATATTCTTTCTTGAACGGGGCCATCCGTGCAGGGGTCAGCGAACGTCTTAACGGGACGTTTGTCCATAAAGGGACATTTAGTATTTTAGGCTCTACAGGTCACGTACAGTCTCTGTTGCATGTTCGTGCCTTTTTTTCTTTACTAACCCTTTCAGAATTGAAAAACCACTCGCAGCTCAAGAGTCTTCTAGGTTTTCCCTGTGGCCAATAGTTTGCCAAGGAATTCTTTGGCAGGGGAACATGGGCACTTAACCATGTAAAGTATAAGGCTGTTTGGGCCTCGGAACCCTGATTTGGGATTTCTTTTGGACAGTGAGGTAGGTCCTTGCCCAGGGATCCTTAGACCAGGCGTAAAGCAGAACTCCTGTTTGTCTCCATTCTGCTCCCCAGACGGTACAGACCTGGACCAAATTGGCACCGTTTACATAAAAGGTGGCTACTTATGGTAGGAAGTCTTAATTAAGGCCCATTTAAATTTGGGCCTATGCTGGCTAACACTTGCCTTGTTTTAAAGGCAAAATCACATACTCCAGGTGTCTGAAGAGTTTCATTTCCAGGTTACTTACTACCCCCAATGGTTGGCGGTAGAAAAGCTCAAGTGTAAACACATTTCCTCTTCACCACCGATGCTCCCCACAGTCCACAGAACAGGCCCTGTCCGAGGATTCAAGGGGAAGCACGCCAGCTCACTCTACTCCAGGGGTATCTACAACACTGCCCGTGTGTGGCTGGGTCTTGATAGGGAACAGCGTTTACCAGGGACCAAGCACTTTAAGAGCTGGAGACCAGCGTTTCGGAATCTGGGTCTTCCACAGGGACATTTACCTCCCTCCTCCCTGACAGAAGAGGCTGTACCACCACCGTGCTCCTCCAACCTTCTGGATAGCTGAGAGACAAAGATTCTACCAATAACTTTCTCACTGTTAGAATATTCACTTTGAAGAGCAGAGTAAGAGAATTTGCATTTCTTTTATATATTTGTGATCTTTTCAAGTCATCAATATACATATGATATATGCCCTGTTTTAAATAGTTAATAAACATAAATAAAATCCAATTTTTTAAAGTTAAATAAGGGCTTCGGGATCTGAATCCTTTAATGAATACTGTCTGGAGAAGCAGCTGTTGGTTCTCAAAATACACATTTGCTACCAACCAGACGAATTTAACTGTTCTGGGATTAAGAAATAGCATGCATGTACACACACACTCACAAAAAGAACTTCACCTAAAAAAAACTAGCTATGAGAATTCCCAAAGCCTCTAAACTAAACGAATAGGTGAAAAACAACCGATCTCACATAAGCCAATCCAGTTGCTCTCTTCAGGTTTCTGTTTAAAATGTTGAACTTGTTTTCTCAAACTGTGAGTTTATTTCTTGTATTAAAGTCAGGCCCTTCTCTTAATCAGGATTTACAGTGGCATCACCACCACAGCCTCAACCGTGACTGTAATAAAGACAACCAGTCAAGCTAAGCATGGGGTCTCCAAGATAAAACTGCTGCGACCATTTTTCATTAAGGACGGGAATACCAACTTGAAGTTGGAAGAAACTGGAGCACATGAAACCAGCAAAAATGTACCACTAAGAAATGCTGACGTGCGTGTCAGCAGGCACTAGCTCCAGTTCTCATGACCTCGAAACCAGTGAAATTTGATGAGTTTTCCAACTCAAGGACATAATATTCTAGGGCTGCTGAAAGGTGGGACTGAGAAAGTCATTACCTGTGATCAGGAAAGAATGGTAATGGGGACTTTTCTACATAAAAAGAAATGAAACAAATTCTGAAGCGTGTGTTTTTAAAAGAAAGAGCACGGCATTCTCTCATCCTCTTTATCATTTCTCTCTCTCTCTCACACACACACACTCACACACATTCTATTCTCTCACACACACATTCTCTCTCGCATATTCTCACATACACAAAAACATCTGTTTCTCTCTCACACACACACTCACACACATTCTATTCTCTCACACACATATTCTCTCTCACACATTCTCACACACACACACAAACATCTCACAGTTTCTCTCACACACACACACTCATTCTATTCTCACACACATATTCTCTCTCACACATTCTCACACAAACATCTCAGTTTCTCTCACACACATTCTCTCACACACACATTTCTCACACACATTCCCTCACACACACATTCTCTCTCACACACATTCTCTCTCTCTCTCACACACACACACTGCTGTAGTCATTATTTCACATCTTCCAGAATTATCAATTTTAAAAATAGTTACTTCCTGGTTCCTATATTTCTATCTCGGGTATAAATGGTTTTGATTTTTTAAGCCTACAAAGAAAACATATAGTGACAGATCTGAACAAGAACTAAAAACCACACATCACCCTGTGTAGGTCAGAGCTTTTGAGCTAGACAAAAAGAGGACTATGATTCAGTCAGTCAGGTTCTGGTTCTGAGAAAGCATCACTCTCAGTGCTACCTCCTCTGATGGAAAACAGCTTTGCCATTCCCTCCAGTATCAAAGTGCATCTGTTTAAAATTTAACATACCTCGAAGAAAAACAGAAAGTCTTAGGTAGCCATCCTATGCAGCAAGAATGAAGTGATTTTCCCTTTTCCCTGCTCCTCAACTTAAAGCTATATGCAAAACGGCTAAACGCAGTACTTCCGGGACAGCAGAGCTTACAAACAATGGATTTTGTTTTTGTTTCAGGGAACAAAAATTGGGACAGCAAAAACAAAACCAAATGAGAATAAAGAGGAGAAACCCTGAGGCAAAAATGGCTTTTCCTTCAGAAAGTCTCGCCGGGCTCTCGAATTCCCGTTCACAAGGTACCGGCAATCTTCTGGGACGGAAGGCCTTCCTCCAGCCAGAGGGTGGCCGTCGAAGCGCTGCGCGGTGTCCGCCTGTGAATGCGCCGGAGCCGCAGCAGGTACAGGAGGATGGAGAGCACGACCACCAGGAAGCAGCCTGAGAACAGGTAGTGATTGTAGACAAAAGAGAAGCCCCGCCAGTGAGCGTGACTGGCCCGGAAGGTCTCCTGCTGGATATCTCTGCTCGCACGGAAACAAAAGCAAACACCACAGGTAAGTCAGAACGGGACTCATCAGGCAAGCCACGCGGTGTAACAGTGCGCAGCATATGGGAACAGCGTGCAGCGTATGGGAACTGCGCACAGGGTATGGGAACAGCGCGCAGCGTATGGGAACTGCGCGCAGGGTATGGGAACAGCGTGCAGCGTATGGGAACAGCGCGCAGGCTATGGGAACAGCGCGCAGCGTATGGGAACAGCACGCAGGCTATGGGAACAGTGTGCAGCGTATGGGAACAGCGTGCAGGGTATGGGAACTATGGGAACTGCACGCAGGGTTATGGGAACAATGTGCAGCGTATGGGAACAGTGCACAGCATATGGGAACAGCGCGCAGGGTATGGGAACAGCACGCAGCATATGGGAACAGCGTGCAGGCTATAGGAACAGCGTGCAGTGTATGGAAACAGCGCGCAGGGTATGGGAACAGCACACAGAGTATGGGAACAGCACGCAGGCTATGGGAACAATGTGCAAGGATATGGGCCGGAAGGAGCTGGTTTAGGACTTGGTGCTGCAGACAAAAACTGTCATCTCGGTCTCTGAGACTCAGTTTCCTCACATCTAAAATGTAGGCTAATGTGGCCTAACAGAGGGTGGCTGTAAGTAGTAACAAGAGAACACATGAAAGTGCATTTGTAAGTCTGTGGCAGTTACCATCATTGTCATTCGGTAAACAAAAATCAGAAAAATGTAAAAGAACAGTGACAGTTTCACTAACACACAGAAGCCAATGTGGAACGAGAGCACCTGTCTGTGAGCCATAATACCCACTACTGGGACATGCTCAATTAGATGAAGGGGAAAAAAAAAAAAAAACCCCAGGAAGCGAATTCCTTGTTTATCAGTGCCCCAGGGTTCTTACATGGGGACAGCGGGCAGCCAGTCTGTGAACGTGAACGGGGAAATGTCCATCTTTACTTGCCAGTCTCTGACTGGCATTTCCACTGACCATGAATGCGGACAGCAAAGAACCGCAGTGTCAGCAGTACTTGTGACTTTGTGGGGAAGCTCGAAGATCTTTTATATCACACTGTGGTGGTTTGCAGATGCCTCAAAATACCGATACATATCCCCGTACTGAAATCACAGCAAGTAGTAGCGCTGCTGCCTGACTGGTTATTTCATGTGTGAACAAAAATATGTCACAGGCGTGTGTTCTGTAATAATTTTTTTTTAAAGATTTTATTTATTTGAGAGAGAGAGAATGAGAGAGAGAGCACAAGAGGGAAGAGGGTCAGAGGGAGAAGGAGACTCCCTGCTGAGCAGGGAGCCCGACGTGGGACTTGATCCTGGGACTCCAGGTTCATGATCTGAGCCAAAGGCAGTCGCTTAACCAACTGAGCCACCCAGGCGCCCCGTTCTGTAATATTTTGATAAATGTATTTCAATACGGGGGTTTCCTCTGTACCCTGTGGTATTTATTTTATACCTTAAGAACAGTATTTTGAGGAGGAGTCCAAAGCCATAAAGGTGAAGAACCAGAAACAGCCCTTCTGTGCAGGAGTTAGGGAAAGATGCTTGAGAATAATCAAAAGCTTTTGTGCTGCACAGGATGGGATGGGTGGGGTGGGAAGGAAGCACGGGTGGGGAAGACCAAAGTCAAACTCTGGTCTACAGTCCTGTCCACGGCCAGCACGCACCCCAAACACCCGCAAACCACAGCTGCCATGCTGTATCACAATGCAGAAAAGCCCACTTTGTTTTTCTTGTTACCAAATCCATAGCCATACCTTAAGGGTAAAAAACGGGTCCTGTAAAGGATTGCTCCGAGTGTCCACTGAACCTCCTTGTCATAAACTTGTAAGGCTGTCTTTAAATTTTTATAGTTGACAGGAAACGAAAAGCCCCTATGAAACACCTCGAACATCCAGGCCGATTTGAAGCACTGATACCTACGAACACCAAGCATAAACCTAAGTGGCTTTCATTTACTTGTCAAAATGAACCATACGCTGAGATGTCCCTCCCCCACGACCACGGTGGGTGCACAGGCCGGCACTTTGGGCAGCCAAACAACCCTATACACTTCCAGTTGATAGACTTGGTTTGTGCCCCTTGTCCCATAACCCGAAACAGTTCACCTGCCAAAATCGGTTAGCACATGAAACTTGGTCTGGGTATGATTTCATACCTTGCTATGACAGATTTTTTTCCTCAGGCATTCCATCATTTACTGTCTGATAAATACTGAGCAAGTCCCAACTTCTTTGGACCTCAGTTTTTTAAATTATAAAATGAGAAAACAGAAGGGTCCTTTTCAGCTTTGATATTCTATGATTCTAAATATTTATCAGAAGCTTTGCAAAGTAAATATTTATCAGAGGTTTACTTATTGCAAGTGCTGAGCTAAGTTAGTAATGAGATATAATAGCAAATAATAAGATAGCCCATGTACTTAAATGACTTATAATGACAGGATTTTAAAAAAGCAACAAAGAATTATGAAGTAAGGCAGAATCTGATAAATGCCACTAGGGAAACATAATGCGTGCTCTGGAGACTGAGAGAGGGATGGAGTCTGCTTGAATGGGCAAGAGGGAGACTCGAAAGGGACAGCGTCTGACCTGACTCTGAGGTCTGGCCAGGACTTCAACAAGCAGGGGATGAACAAGGGAACTCCAGGTGGAAGGAAAAGCAAAACTGAATAAAAAACTGTCAGCTATGTTTGGACACAAGTATCTGTTGTCCCGTCTGAAAGTAGCCCCAGGACAGATGAGGAGAAACAGTGATCGATGAGGATGTGAAAGCAGGTCGGGGCCAGGGTGTGGCAAGCCAGGTGCCAACACTGATGCACGGTTCCGTGAAACCGCACGGGCTCAGCCACCCACTGCTTACTTTAGCCTGTGGAGGTCGGCATGGGAGGCGTAGAGTCCTCGGTCAAAGCGTTCCCGCAAGATTGACCACTTTGTTGCACAATAATCCTAGAAGAAATTTCACCCCAAAGAAATTATTGGTTAAGGTTTAATGGTTTCTTCATTTTACAAACGGTTGACTAAATTCATATTCCTAACAAACAGATCCTTCCAATTAGGCAACATAAGCTTAACATCCATGTGTAACGTGAAGACAGGATACAGAAGCTTCCAGCAAATACTTACTGATTAGCAAAGACAGTGCTTGTTCTGTCTTAAAATGCTGCCGAAGTTATTGTTACAGAGAATTTCACTGCCCACAACCAAGCTCTTCAAAACTGCTTACGTTTCCCCCTGCGTGACTGCCTGTGACAGGCAGAAACTTTCGGAAAAGTGAAGTGGTACTTCAGCTAGGTCCGAGGGGGTACCTAGGTCTGTGGCTCCACAGTGCAAGGCCCTGGGAACACCAACATGACTACAAAAGGCCTGTCTTTCAGAGAAGGGCAAGAGGTGCCATCTTTTCCTGAAGTTATTTGTAATAATATTAATAGCTAACATTTATTGAGCACTTAGTGCCTTTTCTGAACAGAATACTTAAAGCCATTCCTTGGCATGGCTAGGATTCCAACCTCTATTTCAAGGACGAAGAAACTGAGGCTCTGAGAGATGGTGAAATGTGCAGCAGGGAACACAGAACAGCACTCAGTCTGGGGTGAGAGGTGTGGACAGGCATTGAGGGCAGAGGAAACACTGTGAACAAGGAAGGAAGTAGGCTGGATGTTAGGGAAACGAAGTCTGCAGTGATGAGAGTGAGGGCGTGCGTGCTGGGTGGGGAGAGGACGCTCCCGGGTGGGGATGACATGTGGAAGCACTTGCAATTTATCCTGGTACAAAAGGAAGCCGCTGAAGACTGTAAAAAGGTGAGGGGACTGCACTTGTGTCTTGGACAGAACTCTGCGAGCGGCATGGGGAATAGACGATGGAGGGAGACCAGAGGCAAGAAGCCCAACTGGGAGGCTCCTACAGGTGACAGCCACAGGCCTCACTAGGGCAGTGAGAGCAGGACGGAAAGTAGGGAAGGCTTTGAGAAATGGTCATGCATCAAGTGATGTGCTTGTTGACTGATTATGGGGCATGTGCTGCGAGGCGGGAATGAATGGCGGGGAGAAGTCTAGAACTCCTGAGTTTTGGGAGGTGGACTAGATGGTCAGGGATGCCATTAACCCAGACAACAACACAGAACGAGGGGAACAAAGGGAAAATGATGGGTTTGTTTTGGGACATGAAATCTCATAGGCAGGGGTCAGGACTGGACCCTTTTCCTGACAAAGAGTAGCAGCGACCTGTGAGCATGGGTGAGACCGTCTAAGAGCCTGAAGGTCCAAGGGCCAAAGATGGCTGTTGGGGATCACCCAGGGTTAAGGGGTAGAAAGGTGGGGAACCCTTGAAAGAGCCTAAGCAACCATCAGAAAGGCAGGGGCCAACAAGAGAACAGGGGTCCTGGCGGCTAAGGGACAGGAAGGCTGCCAGGAGTGTGGCCAGATCATGGCTACATTATTACCCAGAAGTATACAAGTCTGTCATCTGGAAGCCACTTGTGATCAGAGCGGTTCATGGAGTGGTGGGCTGAAGTCCGCTCACCATGGACTTCCGACTCCTGCTGGGACTACGTCTCTTGCTCAACCAAGGGAACAGGATCCCCAACATGCTGCACTACACCCTTCCAGCCTCCACCTTCCCCATCTCTTGACCCGGGCCTCTTGATGTGCAGAATGGACATAAGCTGCCACTGTCTACACCAGTCTCTCAAAAGCATGCGGGGGAAGAGGGTTTCTTTGAAGGTTACCTTTGCAGCTTTAGTAAAAGTAGCAGCATTGTAATCCCCCCCCATTCGTAACACATCTTCAGTGCAATAGTAGAACTCCGAAAAGCCATAGAATTCGCTGTTCTGGAAGTGAATTGGGGGCTGGTAGATGCCGTTGAGGGAGGTCTGTGTCTCATTCGTTTTATTCATGAAAGGCTGGATGGTCTCTCGACACAGGTCAAAGTCTCCTGTTCCCCGGAGGTACATGGTCTGTCCATTTTGCTGGATTTCATCTTTAATGTCTAGGGGTAAGCAGGGGTCCAGGTATGGAGTATCAGGAGCCAGACCGGTCTGTTTCCCCAGAAGCCTACAGGACAAAGAGAAACTTGATTTGAGACTGACAGAAAACCGTGTTTTGAAGAAGCAGCTACAAGTCAGTGTTTCTTAAGACATTCTGTGGACCATGAGCTCTGTGAGGTGTTTTCTGGGAATGAAGAAGGGTTCTGGGATCATAAGGTTAGGGAAACAGGTTCTTGGGCCCCTCCTGGAGATTCACCATCCGTCCACATGTGTGTAGGGCAGACATTGTAACAGGGTCCAGTGAGACAGCTACCCTGTCGGATGACCAGTGCTTTCCGTACCCTGGAATGTGGCCTGGTGCTCTCAGCCCGAGCGTCTGTGGTTCCTACGCTCCTCTCGGTTTCAAGTTCACTGCAGGTGAATGCCCACCACCTGTGTCGTTTCCAATCCTGTTCTGCCACTAGAGCCTGTGGGTTTCAGTATACAGAGATGAAATGTGACCGCGGAAAGAAGTCACTGGCCCCATCTAAGCCAGGCTCCAAGCCTTAGATAAAGGCAAGGTGCTTGCTTGAAAACTGCTGTCAAATTCAGTATTAGCAAGGTTTAAAAAAATGGGGAAAATCAAGAAGAACTGGTATCAAATTGCTTCACAGATGTCTGTTAAGCCCTTCGTAGTCTTTAAAGAAGCCAGAATGACACTGAGATGAGCAGGTGCAGTGCGTGCCAGAGCTATGATGGGTGTAGCCTGAGAAAAGACCTCAATCCAGAGCAAAAGACTGGCACATGAATACTTAAGTTAAAACAAAATAAACCTGCTGTTTCATTCTATTTTTGATTCTCTGTTTTACCTGATTTTTAAAAATCAACTCTTGATCCCGATTGCTGCAGGTAAGAGAGTTTCTATTGTAATACAAGGTTCTGAGAAGTCCCATGGAAAAGAAGTCTTAACTGTCCACTGAAATGCACTGTGCTTACGACTGATTTCCTGATGAAATGTCCCTGCACTAAGACCTGTCATCCCACTGTATGTACTCACCACTTCTCACCGCTAAGCAACTGAGGAACAGAAAAGAGCTCACAACAATGGCGTCTATGTTAGTGTTTGATACCGTGACATCACATGGGCCTAAAAGGTGTTTAAATATTACTACCAGTCACTCAACTGACAAGTTGTTTATTCCGAAGATCAGGGCAACTCAATATGCACTTGAATGTAATAAATTAAGGTCTTTGCCATTAATTAAAAATGTCTTATTTTGAAAACTCAGTTGCTACTGATGGCAAAGAGATAACTATGCATTTCAAGGCTCAATTCATGACATATGTATAAAATGATGACTAATGTTTATAATTATTACAAAAGTCCAAGATGGGGCGCCTGAGTGGCTCAGTTAAGTGTCCGACTCCTCATTTCAGTTCAAGTCATGATCTCAGGGTTGTGAGATCGAGCCCCACATCAGGCTCCACACTCAGTGGAGAGTCTGCTTGAGATTCTCTCCCTCTGCCCCTCCCCTGGCTCACACACACTTGCTCTCTCTAAAATAAATACATAAGTAATATCTTAAAAAAAAAAAAGTCCAAGACTAGTCAAATGTACTTCAACACTACTGTTTTTAGTTGCCCTACATCTAAATTAAGAAGGACCACTGAACTGTCATGCAAGTTTCTTTTTTTTTTTAAAGATTTTATTTATTTATTTGAGAGAGAGAATGAGAGATAGAGAGCACGAGAGGGAAGAGGGTCAGAGGGAGAAGCAGACTCCCCGCTGAGCAGGGAGCCCGATGCGGGACTCGAACCCGGGACTCCAGAATCATGACCTGAGCCGAAGGCAGTCGCTTAACCAACTGAGCCACCCAGGCGCCCTGTCATGCAAGTTTCTTGACATTAAAACCAATTAGTAAAAATTAGCATTGCAGGTGTTTCCCCAAAGTTCTAATTCAAACATCACTTATAAAATATTTCTATTTAAGACTATTATAAAAAATTATTATAACAAAATGTACTATAACATATACCACATTTAAAAGAAACGATGGGACTACCAATCTCTTAACTAATGCCATTCAGTTAATGTCTGGAGCAGAAAAAGAACAAGTTTTTTATTGCTCTTCCTATTCACATCTGTGAATTTCTGGAAAATGTGGTACTGAATGGCTCTGACTTGGTCTTTCTTAAAGTTCAGGCCTCCACAGGTTTATCAAGATTAAACTGATCAAGGAACATACTACCATTTATCTCTACGAATTGGGATTTTTTTTCCCTCAAAACTGGTTATCAAAAAAAAAAAAAAACTAAACACAGTAATTAATAGGATATTTTATATAACCCCAGATTTCAGATATTTTTATTCATCCAAACAGCTTTGCTTTTCTTATGGACCAATTTCAAATATATAATTGTTATATACTTAAACTTATAAATTTAAACTGATTAAAGTGTTGCCTGGGTGGCTCAGTCCGTTAAGTGTCTGCCTTTGGCTCAGGTCATGATCCAGGGTCCTGGATTGAGCCCTGCATCAGGCTCCTTGCTCGGTGGGGAGTCTGCATCTCCCTCTGCCTTTGCCTGCCACTCCCCCTGCTTGTGCTCTCTCTCTGACAAATAAATAAGATCTTAAAAAAAAATAAAGTGTTGCTTTTGTTTTATATATTTTCTATAGCAAAATTTTTTATAAACTCAGTTTTTTGTTTTTGTTTTTCTTTTTTTTTTTGTAAATCAGGGCAGTTTTATTTATGATGGCAAGGTACAAGACTCCACGCTTAGGTGCATGGGTGAGATAAGGACCGAGCCCAGGCCTTCTGCTCCTCTTTGGGATTCCTGGGGGCAAACTTCTCCTGCAGTGTCTTCCATATGCCTTTATTCATTTCCTTAACTCTTCCAAAGTGTCTGTGGACAGGATCAGCTTGTACTCTTCTATGGACAGGCCGCTGAAGCTCATGTCTCTGGGATGAGGGTACTTGTGTTTGTAATAGTTTGAATGGAATTGACTAAGCTCTCATACATCTAACCACAGGCCTCAGGCTCTGGAATCTGAGTATTCTCTCCCTCCTGAAAGGCCTGTGTTACCTGCTGCTGCAGGTTAAGTGCCCAAGTCCCAGCCCTGTTTGCTCTCATCCACTGGCAGTCCTCATAGAACTTAAGGAAATGCTGGTAGTGGCTGGTCACCATTTGGGGCACCCCATAAACTCATTTTTAAAAGTTTCACTGCAAAAAATGCTTAAGATCACTAACTTAGACTTCTAGATCACTTCTTTTTCCTGAATGACTTCTTTCTCTATGGTCTTATCCACTAAATGACTGTATAGGCTGGTCTTATCCACTAAATGAACACACCAGAACATCACATAATTCACTTCCATCATCAAAGACAATTTGATTATCACTTACTGCAGGCCTCCAGGACATCTGCAGTGGCCCAGGTGCTGAGCTTCCCAAGGGCTTTGCAATGTGAAATACACTACCTGGGGCTTAAAACTATTTCAAAACATTAACAGTGAAATTTCTAATTCAGGGAGGTGTGGGTCTGAGAGAGAGAGAGCTCTTCCTTCAGAGCCTCGAAGGATTCAGGGCCAAAGGTAGGGATCCTGCTGTCCTTTCATTTCTCAGCTGACAGGGGAGTCAAAAGCTGAGAGTGCTGATAGACTTCTGCTGCTTGAGGTCTCCCTGCTTTGCCTCCATATGTTTTCTATGAGGAGAGACCCAGGTTTGAAAGTGAATCCTGAGAAGTGGAAGGTGCTTTACCTGTTCTTTTGAACTGTGCTGGCAAATATTCGGTCTTCATATCTCTGTCGAGCAGCATTGCCACCAAACCCAAGAAATGTGGCCACATAGACTCGGTACACATGCTCAGTCTGGTGAACATCACATCCCAAGTTAAATTCAGCTAACAAGTTCTTAGCTACTTCTTCCTGCACATGCAAGGATAAAAAGCTTTAATATTTTAAGCAATACAAAAAAAAATTACCTCCTGTGAAAAAGAAGGATCTAAAAAGATTCTCATCTAAAAGCAGCAAAAATTTCTGCTTCTGCATTTCCCAAGGACCCTTCTAAGTGTCCCTCAGATTTCAATATGACAATTCTGACTTAAGAGAATCCAGATATGCTGCACATCTGTGATACTGTTGCTTTTTGTAAAGGGAAGTTAGCAACATAGTTCATATCCTCCGATCTAGTCAACCTACTTATGGAAGCCTATGCTTTAGAAATAATTCTAAACATCGAAAAGTCTCTACATACAAAGATGACCTCTGTGTTCTGTGAGAGAAAAAACTGAGTGTCATCTAAATCTACAACTCTGGGGCACTGGGGTGGCTCAGTCAGTTAGGCATCTACCTTTGGCTCAGGTCATGATTTCAGGGTCTTGGGATCAAGCCCTACATCGGGCTGCCTGTTCAGCATGGGGTCTGCTTCTCAGAAACTCTCCATCTGCCCCTCCCCACCACTCCTGCTCTCTAATAAATAAATAAAATCTTAAAAAAAATTGTTTTAAAAGATAAAAAAAAAATCTACAATTCCAAGGAGGGTTTAGTTAATTATGGTAATCAACAGTTTATGGAGGAACATGCTTACGCACTGTTAAACAAGGGACACAAAATTGTATAAACGGTAAGATATAATAACTATATTTGAAAAAAACCCATAAACACAGAAAAATGAATGAAAAGAAACACACCAAAATGCTAACATTTTTTTTTGGATGATGCACCCATGGAAAAGTTTTAACCCTGCTTTTTCAGTATTTTTCCAAACTCACTTTCTATGTATTTTTTACTTTGTCTTGTGGGGGAAAACATGACTTTTAATAAAGAGTGTAATAGTTTCTAGAGGCATGCCTGGATGAGAAGCAGAACACACAGATCGTAATATTTGAATTTACAAAGCATTTTTGTAAAGAGCTTAATAAATATACCAATAACATTTAGTGAGTGAACACGAGGTGGCTGGCAGTACATTGGATATATTAATATGCACTATCTCATTTCAACTTTATAAAAACCCTGTGTGAGAGGTGCTTGCATTCACATTTATAGATGAAGAACCTACAGCTCAAAGACATTAAGCGACATGCTTAAGGTCACACATTTAGTGAGGCCAGCGTGATGATGGAGCCCAGACTTTTTTAACCACTACCAGGGGAAAGTGTAGGAAACCAGGCTTTGGTAGTAATTTACAGCTGAGTGGAAACAGAGTCGTGAAGACATGTAGCAGTTCAGGAACACATGTGGAAACCTTTCTGGTGCTCTCTATACAAGGCTGCCTGGTCTACTGAGAAACTCCAGGCAGTGACTGCGAGCCCTGAGGGGCATGGGAGAAAACAAGAAACCCTAAGTTCAGAAATGTGCAAGCAGTGCATACAAACCCCAATCCTTTTTAGAAAAGTCAAAAGCTGTCTGAGCCTTAAAAGAAACCCCAGTACATTCCCCAGCTATAACTTAAGAAATATGATGCCATTACATTAAGTCTTACAGTATCTGTTGAGAAAAGAACTGAAGAGAAAACACAAACAAAAATTCAAGCATGTGACTAAAATTTATACCAAACAAAAACTCCCAGTTTAAAAAACAAACCAGCTGACTTCAATGAACAAACACAAACGGCTTAGCGGAGGTTTGCGTGGCTTCCTCCTGACTCCGTTCTCCTGGGTTGGGAAGGTAGGGCCTCAGCAAGCATAGTAAAGATGTGTTCAGACTCAGAAAACAAAACAAAAATGATGGAGACATGTTAAAGGAAAACCAAACCAAAAGGAAGAAAATTTGTACGGATAGTAACCTGCTGTGAGGAGGCAAAGCTTACAGTTTTGGGAACTTCGTATGCTATCTGAGTTGACACGCCTCCCATGTCCAGAATACCAGCTGTCCTTTTACGGAGAATAGCTTCCCTGCTTTCGCTACCAGGAATGTTAACCTCCACAACTGCATCCTCATCTGCAAAAACAAGAAACATCCACTGGAACAGAATCAATCCGGAGAATGGGGATCTTCTGATGAGTCCTCTTGTCTTCATGGTACTTTCAAGCCCACCTGGGCAAACTCAGCCTACTCCTCCCACTTAAAGCCAAGTTCATAGTGAGAAAGAGCAGCTCCTCTCTCTACTCCTACACGCTTAGCTGTGTCACAAAACTCAGCTCCCAGGGCACCTGGGTGGCTCAGTTGGTAAAGCGTCTGCCTTCAGCTCAGGTCATGATCCCAGGGTCCTGGGATTGAGTCCCAAATCGGGCTCCCTGCTCGGTAGGGAGCCTGCTTCTTCCTCTCCCTCTGCCCCTTGATCATGCTCTCTATCTCAAATAAATAAATAAAATCTTTAAAAAACAAAACTTAGCTCCTTTTTTATCCTTTGGGATTAGACAGACCAGCCATCATTTCTAGTCAGACACATTGGTTGGAAACATGATACTTACCATCCTCAATATGCTCGAATCGTCCAAGGACAAAATTAATGCCAATCCAAGCATACACACCTATAGACATTTTATGGGGGGGGAAGATAAGAAGGATAAAGTTTTAAGATACTTTGTACAACTCTTATCGATGCAGTTAGTGCAAACAACTCGTTTACTTTACTCCCTGACAACCTGTGAACACATTATCTGAAATAAAGCATCCCTACTGATGTATATTTTCCTAGTGGCTTTCCAAGAACTCTCAACTTTAAAATTTATAGTTTCCTATCATTTACACAGGTAAAAATAGAATTCCCTCAGTGCCGGCTTCCATTTGAAACTGTTTTGAAATAATGGAGTTTTTACTTTATGAAGTTAAACCTATCAACTGCAAGGTTGAAAAAAAAACAAATTTAACTTGGACTCTTCCAGTTCCTTCATCCCTTGCTTTCACTCAGTTGCTGAGCCTCGTTCCCCTTTTACAACATTTCCTCTATCCAGTCTTTACCCACTTTCATTTCCACCTTGATTTAAGCTGTCATAGAGACCTAGTCAATCTTCCTGCCTTCCTCCTCCACTCCATCCCACACTATTCTCTGCTATTGGCTTGACCTCCAGAACAAAGGCCAAACTCCACAGTCTGACAATCCAAGACCTCTCCAACTTTTTGTTTTTATTGAATAAATCAGACATGTAACACTGTGTAAGTTTAAGGTGTACAGTGTGTTACTTTGAAAGGTCTATACACTGTAGTATGATTGCCCTTATAGTGATACCTATTACACAGAGTACAATATTACTGTCTCTACTCATTATACTGCCCATTAGAACTCTATGGCTTATTGGGGCACATGGGTGGCTCAGTCGTTAAGCGTCTGCCTTCGGTTCAGGTCATGATCCCAGGGTCCTGGGATCGAGCCCCGCATCGGGCTCCCTGCTCCACAGGAAGCCTGCTTTCCCTCCCCCACTCCCCCCGCTTGTGTTCCCCCTTTCTCTGTGTCTCTGTCAAATAAATAAAATCTTAAAAAAAAAAAGAAAGAACTCTATGGCTTATTACTCGTTCTAAGTGTGCACCCTTAAACACCATGAATCTTATCACCCTCTCATTCCCTAGTAACCACCATTTTATTCTGTTTTTCTTACAGGTTTGACTTTTTCAGATTCCACAAGTAAGTGACATCAAACAGTACTATCTTTCTCTGTCAGACTTATCTCACTTAGGATAATGTGCTCAAGGTCCATCCGTCTCGTCACGAATGGCAGAATATCCTCCTTTCTCATGGCTGAATAATATTCCATTGTGTGTATGTACTACATCTTTTTAAACCATTTATCCATTGATGAGCATTTGGGTTGTTTCTCTGTCTTGGTCCTTGTAACTAATGCTGCGATAAACATGGGGGTGCAGGCATCCTGTTGAAATCCTGTTTTCGTTTTGTGTATATACGCAGAAATGGAATAACTGGATTGTATGGTACACCTATTTCCAATTTTTCGAGCAACCTCCATGTTGTTTTCTATAGCGCCTGGACCAATTTACATTCCCACCTACAACATATAAGGCCTTTTCACCACATTCTTGGCAGCACCTGCTACCTTGTCTTCTCGATGATAGCCATTCTAACAGGTATGAGGTAAAATCTCATTGTGGTGGTTTTGATTTGCATTTCCTTGATGATTAGTGATGCTGAGCATCTTTTTATGTGCTGTTGGCCATTTTGATGTCCTCTTTGGAAAATGCCTAGTTTTTTTTTTTTAAAGATTTATTTATTTGAGAGAGAGCGAGCGAGTGTGGGGGGAGGGGCAGAGGGAGAGGGAGAATCTCAAGCAGACTCCGGGCTGAGAACAGAGCCCAATGTGGGGCTCGATCTCACGACCCTGAGATCATGACTTGAGCTGAAACCAAGAGTCTGATGCTCAACTGACTGAGCCACCCAGGCACCCCATGTCTATTTAGTTTTTAATCAAATTGTTTCTTAGTTGTTTTAAGTCGTATGAGATCTTTATATATTTTGGATATTAACCCCTTATCCAATATACGGCTTACAAAAATTTTCTCCCATTCTGTAGGTTTTTTCATTTTGTTGTTTCTTGTACTGTGCAGAAGCTTTTGAGTTTGATATAGTCCTGTTTATTGGTTTTTGCTTTTGTTATTTGTGCTGTTGGTGTCATGTCCAAAAAATCCTTGCCATGACTAATATTGATGAGTTTCCTCCCCATGTTTTCTTCAAAGAGTTTATGGTATCAGGTCTTACGTTTAACTCTCTGATCCTTTTTGAATTAGTGTTTGCAAGTGATGTGAGACAAGGGTCTAATTTCATTGTTAGGCATGTGGTTCTTCATTTTTCCCACCACCATTTGTTGAAGAGACTATCCTTCCCCCACTGGGTATTTTTGGCTCCCTTGTTGAGTATTAGTTGGCAGTATATGCTGGGATTTAATTCTGGGCTCTCTATTCTGTTCCACTGGTTGATGTGTCCTTTTTTGTGCCAGTACCATATTGTTTTTATTAACATTGCTTTGTAGGATGGTTTGAAATTGAAGCATGATACCTCCAGCTTGGTTCTTTTTCCTCAGGATTGTTTTGGCTATTGGGGTCTTTTGTGATTCCACACAAATTTTAGGATTGTTTCTATTTCTGTGAAAAATGCTTTTGGTATTTTGATGGGGATTGCATTAAATCTGTAGATGGCTTTGAGTAGTATGGCAATTTTAACAAAATTAATTCTTTCGGTCCATGAACATAGGTTGTCTTTCAATTTGTCTTCTTCCATTTCTTTCAGTCAAGTCTTGTAGTCTTTATTGAAAAGATCTTCCACTTCCTTGGTTAAGTTTATTCTTATTTTATTGTTTTTGATGCCACTGTGAATGAGATAGTTTTCTTTCTTTTTCAGATGCTTCATCATTAGTGTAAAGGAATGCGACTGATTTCTGTATGTTGATTTTGTATCTTGCCACTTTACTGAAACTGTTAATTAATTCAATGATTGACAGCTTTTTGACTGACTCTTTAGGGTTTTCTATATATAAGGTCATATTATCAGTAGATAATGACAATTTTACTTTTTCCTTTCTGATCTGGTGTCTTTTCTTTGTCTTGCCTAATTACTTTAGCTAAGACTTCCAGTACCATATTGAATAGGAGTGATGAGAATAGGCATCCTTGTCTTATTCCCAATCTTAAAGGAAATGCTTTCAATTTCTCTCCATTGAGTCTAATGTTAGCTGTGAGTTATACATGACTTTTATTATGTTGAGGTATGTTTCTTCTATACCTACTCTGTTAAAGATTTTTATCATGAAAGGATGTTATATTTTGTCAAGTGCTTTTTCTACGATGCTTGAGATGATCACATGATTTTTTATTTTATTTCCACTCTTATCTTTATTATTTCCTTCCTTCTGCTAACTTTGGGCTTCATTTATTCTTCCAGTTCCTTGAGGTGTAATGTTATATTGCTTACTTGAGATCTAATTTCTTAATATTTGCTTTTATTGCTATCAATTTTCCTGTCCTAACTGCTCTTGCTACATCCTGCAATATTTGCTATGTTCTATTTCCATTTTCATTTGTTTTGAGACAATTTTTTATCTCCTTTTGAATTCTTCTTTGACCCACTGGTTTGGAAGTGTGCTGTTTCATTTCCACATATTTGTAGATTTTCTCACCTTTTGATTTCTAGTTTCTAGTTTCCTACCATTGTGTTCAGAAATGATGGCTACCATGACTTCAATCTTCTTAAATTTGCTAATAAGACTTCCTCTGTGTCTTGTCATATGATCTAACCTGGAGAATGTTCCATGTACACTTGAAAAGATGTGTATTCTGCTGCTATTGGATGGAATGGCTTGTATATATTTATTAAATCCATTTGTGCTAACATGTGGTTCAACTCCAATGTTTTTTCTTGTTGATTTTCTGTCTGGTTGATTCATCCATTGCTGATAGCGGGGTTCTGAAGTCCCCTAGTATTATTGTTCTCTACTTCTCCCTTAAGACCTGTTAGTATTTGCTTAATATATCTCAATGTTTGGGTGTTGGGAGTATACTTATATCTTCTTGAGGTATTGGCCTGTTTATCATCATAAGATGACCTTCTTTATCTCATTACCCTTTTAGACTTCCAGTCTACTTTGTCTGATATAAATATGGCTATGCCCGCCTTCTTTTGGTTTCCATTTGCTTGGAATACTGTTTTCCATCCTTTTTGAGTCTATATCTGTCTTCAGAGCTGAAATGAGTCTCCTATAGATGGCATATAGTTGGGTCTTGTTTTTTAAATCTATCCATTCTGTGACTTTTGATTGGTAAGTTCAATCTGTTTACATTTAGGGTGATTACTGATAGGTAAGGATTTACTACTGCCATTTTATATTTGTCTTCTGGTTATTTTGTCTCTCCCTTGTTTTCTTCCTTCTGTTTACGTCTACCTTTGTAAGTTTGCAGTTTGTTGAGGGGGAAGGAAAGATGGCGAAGGAGTAGGGGACCCTATTTCAACTTTCAACTGGTCCCCAGAATTGAGCTGGACATCTATCAGACCACTCTGAGCACCCACGAAATCAGCCTGAGATGTAAGAAGATCTGGATCTCTACAAACAGAATATTGCAGGTGGTTGGTTTCGAGGTACGAAGCGGGGAACTGTGATTCCGTGGGCAGATATTGGAGGATAAATGGCAGCGGGAGGGAGCCTGGGCGTGGGGATCCTACATCACCAGTGAGCGACAGCCTTGCACGCAGGGGACGGGGCACAGACTCGCAGACCAGTAGTGGCGGGGAAAGCACTTCAGGGCAGCCCCTGGGGCGGAAACCCGGAGTGGCGGGGTCGCACGTGCAAACTGGGAGCAGCTGGTGGTTTTAGAAGCACAAAGGGCAGAGACGTGCCCCAACCTGAAGGCAGGACTGGGAACGCTGCTGAGGGGCGCACAACCCAGGGTGCTGCAGTTTATAGCAGCACAGACAGAAACGGAGACAGTGTGGCCTGGAGAGCTCACTGAAGAACAGACTGCGGTCTCTCTGCTCTGAGGCAGAGGGTTGGAAACAGTCTCTTCTGCTCTGACTTGCAGAAGACACGCGGAA